AACAACACAACAGGGTGGCAGCGGTGGGATCTTTCCAATAAGATTTAAACTGAAAAAATCAGAAAAAAAAGGAAATATGGGAGACCCTGGACCTGGCGAAACTGGAAATCAAGCTGTACCACATCCTGTAGTTGACGAGCCGAACGAAGATGACGTTCACCCAGACAGCCTGCACAACAACAAGCCGACATGTTTGCACAGCGTACAGTCCAACAGATCGCTGTGGCGAATTATCAAGTTCCACCACCGGAAAAATTCAGTTTTAAACCCAACGAGTGGCTCCGCTGGATTAGACGTTTCGAACGAATGCAAAAGGCCACTGGCCTCGACTAGAAGGACGGCGAGAGCCAAGTAAACACTCTTATTTACTCAATGGGAGAAGCAGCTGATGACATCGTTGTCTTATTTGGAATAACCGCCGAGGAAGCGAAGCAGTATGACGTCGTGAAAGGCAAGTTTGAAGCTCATTTTGTTGTTAAGGGAAATGCGATATTTTTGAAAGAGCCACATTTAACTCGAGAAGTCAACAGAATAGTGAGTCCGTGGATAAGTTCATAACAGACTTATATTGTCTGGCTGAATACTATGAATTTGGAACATTAAGAGATGGTCTCATCCGAGACAGAATCGTTGTAGATTTAAAAGACAGAAAGCTTTCTGAACAACTGCAATTGGATCCCAAGCTGACTTTAGAGAAGGCAGTTACTATGGCCAAGCAGTCTGAGACAGTGAAGAAACAACAAACTTTCATATAGGGAAACAAATCTGAACAAACACTAGCTAATGTAGACCGCTTATCTAAAGGAAAGGGAAAAGATGTTAAAACTAAACCAAAAGATGCAAAGAAGCCCCAAAAGCTTAGAAACGGGACAGAGAAGACTCCTGAAGCGCAATGTTTAAGGTGCCTGGATCCACCACACCTAAAGGGACACTGTCCAGCCAGAGAATCTAAATGTATCAAGCACTCCAAAGTAGGACATTGGGCAAAGCTTGCAAATCTCGATCTTACAAGAAAGTGAATGAAGACGAAGCATTCTTCCTGGGTGAACTAATTGAGGTAGCTATTGTTCAAGGACAAGCACAAAGTTCATGGAAAGCTGAAGTCGTGATGAATGGACAACCAACAGAATTTAAAGTTGATACTTGTGCAGATGTCACAGCGGTTCGGCCAAGCCTGTATTACAGCTTAAAACAAACTCATGTACTCAACAAGGCATCCAGGTTACTTATGGATTCATGTAAACAGAAACTAAGCTTCCCAGGAACTTTCATTGTGGAGCTGCAAGTGAAGGATATGCTTACTAAGAAACGAGTGTATGAGATAAAAGATTTAGAGCGACCTCTGCTAGGCAGGGAGCCAACTGAATATCTCAAACGCATAAGCAGACTTGACAGCTTAAGTAGTGATGACTACAAGAGTAAAGTGGCAAACAAGTACCCTAAGTTATTCCAGGGACTGGGTGTCCTGATGGACTGTTACCATATCACACTCAAAGAAGGCGCTAAATTCTTTCAAGTTACAGTTCCGAGAAAAGTCCTCTTACCATTTTACCATAAGACAAAAGAAGAATCGGATAGAATGTTGAAATCAGGTGTCATATCCAAAGTTGACGAGCCCACAAGCTGGTGTGCTCCCATGATGGTGGTTGCCCCAAACAAGCTGAACGAGTACGTCAAAAGAGAGAACCACCCACTTCCAGCAGTAGACACGCCACGATCATGGACAGTTGGTTTAAAAATACTGAAATATGCAGTTACAGCAGAGGTATTTCCAGCCATAGGACAATAATGAATCGCCAGTAGTCGAAAGAGTAGAATTTAAAATATAACAGGTTTAAAAACGACTTGTAAGTGACTTTTCTCTCAAAAGGAGTCCCCCCTTTCCCCCTCTTTCTCCTCCCCCGCCCCTCTTTCCTTCCCCCGCTCACCCCTTTCTCTCCCCCATTCCTCGCCCCTTTCCCTTCCCCCCCTTCCCCCCCGGAAATAATTTCTGAATGTCAGGAATGGGATGTAATGATAAAACAGCTCAAATTTGCTCCTACAGCTCACATTTTTTTTCATGTATTTAGGATTTTGTGAAAAGCATTGGTCAAAAGCTCTCTAGTGTCAACAATGTAACAAACCAGTTGTAAACAGGGTTAAACCGATATCAACAGAGAAAAAATATATATATGTATTATCATTATTTAGATGAGACGTCTGGCAAAAGAAAACTTGACCTTGTGGCGGTCATTTCCGGCGGCGCAGAAGTAACAAGAGGACTCCAGAAAAACATCACATTAAATGCCTCATTGTCATATGACCCGGAAGTTGCACATGGCAACCGATCAGAAATGAAATTCACCTGGCATTATAGCAAAGTCACAGGAAATCACTCCGGTAAACAAGCGGAGGCAAAGACGGAGAAAGATCTCTTCACAGCAGTAAACCAGTCAGCCATTAATTATAATAAAAATTTATCTGGCGAACTAGTTTCCTTAAACACCGAAGCTCTGTCTGTTAATCAGACCTACATAGTTAAACTTGTAGTGACCAAGGACATTCGCATTTCCACTGTTTATCAAGTTATCCATTTGATAGAAGGAGATCCCCCAGAAATATATCAAAGGTTAGAGATCTACTTAGTTTTTTCTGTTTTTATTTAGTTTGTTTGGTTTTTTTTCACTGTTGTTTGCCGTTGTTAATACCTATATTTGTTCTTGACCCTGCTAATGCTCTTTATTTTCGCTACTGTTGCTTCTGTCCTCCAATTTTACCTGTTTTGTTTCTGGTTTCGTTATTTTTCGTCGTTTCTGCTGCCGTCGTTCTATATACTTTGTTGTTGCTGTTAATGATAATGTTATTGTTTGCATTATCGTTTTGGTTATCACTGTTGTTGCAGCTACTTCATTAGCAGATGTTCATATCAATGTTAAATTGCAGCCACTGCTGCAGCTGTTCTTCTTAGTTACATGATCTCATCATAAAAGGGAAGTTCAAAACCCCTTCTTCACCGAGGATTCTTCTGATCTTTTTGCTTCATTTTAGATGTTTCTTTAACTGTCAACCTAAAGTGAGTCCCTTGGTCAAACTAAGTATCAAATCACAATGCCGCGGATTACAGTGCTCTAAAATATTATCCTATGAGTGGAGGCTCTACCAGCAATTCAAGCGAAACACCTCCTTTACCTGGCAAAGGAAACATAATTTACGACTTATCACAAGTACACCGCTGAGTTCAAGTGACATTGTTATCAAAGGAGGTTCCCTTACTGGTGGAAATACGTACCGCTTGGCACTATTCATAACAATTACGGATGGTTTAAGGGGAATGAATGCTTACGATTTTTCTACAGCAAGACCCCCTACAGGGGGGAACTGCTCGATCACTCCGCCAAGCGGCATCTCACTGAAGACTGATTTCAATCTGAGATGTAGCAACTGGGAGAGTGACAACACCCCTCTGTCCTATCAGTTTCAATACAGGCTAGAGGATGGTCTGTACGATGTATTACATCGTGGTGTTAATAACAACATTAGTACCTCTTCGATACCGCCTGGGCACAGTACAGATAACTTTACTGTCAAAGTTATTGCTACAGTGACTGACAATTTTGGAATTTCTGCCTCCCCAGTCACTTTGACAGTTCAGGTAAGTCGCTAACCATTAATTTAATGTCTAGCATGAAATGATGTGAACATATTTTAATATCTTTTGGTCCATATTAGTAATAGATTAGTTATAGTTATAGACACCTACATTTGACTTTTGCAGATCAGTCCATATCAGAATGTAAGCAGCGATGTTATCACAAACCTTCTACTGGCAAACGACAGTTTATTTCAGAAATTCATCGAGATCGGAAACCTGAGAAAAGCGGTGCCAATAGCAAACTCTGTCCTGCTCTCAGTTTCACAAGAAACCTCGATGAATTTCCAGGAGAGATACGAGGTACTTTTGAAACGTAACTTGTTACTTAAAAAGTGAAACAAAACTAGCTCATTATGATCGTATACGAAAGCAAAGAGTTTACCAACACAACATATAACATCAACATATAACATTTTGATGGGTTTTAACTAGCAATTCAATTGGGAAACTTGATACGTTGAGTCTTAATATGCCTTTAGATGTATTATCTTTGGAACGAGCCTCATATGCGGGATACAGTCTGTTTGCATATTTCATTACTGGCTTAAATAACATTAAACTTTATCGTTGTTCAAGGTTATGAACTATATCCTTGAAAAAATTTCGCCCTTGGAAGCGAAAACTGTCTCCGACCTCCTCCAAAAATCTTCGGTTATCGGTTCTGCTCTTAAGGCTCTGGAGGAAGTGCCCCACCAGTCTCTGGTAAGTAAATTGCGTAATACTGATTGGGGCTTGAGTAGCCTTGGTTGTTACGTCAAGTTTTCATACCATGACACTATTTAGCCAGAAGGGAAACAACAGAAATAACAAAAACAGCAAAGAGGAAGAAAACGGAAACAAACAAGCATGAAAAACAAGCAACTGTTGTGTTATCAAATGAAGCAATCTATAATTTTGTACTTACTTTAACTAATTCGCCACAAATTATCTCTACAAAGGCCAATGGAAATAAATCTGAAAGTAAGCATTTTTAGCTTCATTTATATTTATTTGTACTCCACAGAATATCTCCTTATCTGCTGTCAGTTCAATGACGTCACTCCTGTGGTCTATTGCCCAGAAACGAGACGTAGCAGACATACCGCTGACAAACCAATCAGCAGAAAACTTGGCTTCATGTCTAAATACCGTGTTGAAGACAGCAGCAGTGGCTGCATCAGAAGACTCCAAGTCAAGTTTTCAACCACAGGTATTTTAATGTACATTTAGGTGATGTCCAAAAGTCTACGAATTAAATAGACCTTTTAAAACGTAATTATCCATGCAAGCATAATCAGTAGACTTTATCGATTGGCAAATGGTCCATGCAGATTGCTCTTAATTCAACCGTTACTCCCTTTTTCATTCAGATTTTGGACCTTTTATGGTTTGCTTGCATGTTTGTTTGTTTTAGGCTTGCGAAAATCCATAATTTGCTTATATTATATGTTTATTTATGCAATCTCTACAGGGTAAACTATTGGTGAAGATTTCAATGAAGGCCCTCGAGAAAGTTGCAGACTCCATGTTGGCCTTGACGGTACCTGATGAAAAAACGATATCATCTACAGTAGGAAAGCTATCCTTGACACTCGGAAGATATAGCCTCCAAAGACTTTCAGGACTGAAAGTAAAAGCAGGAAAAAGCCGGTTTATCTTACCGTCTAAGAGCCAATTGTTACTCGCTGGAGTAAACAAAACAAGTTTTGTAGATGTTCAGGTAGGCATTACTGCCCTACAGGCAAATTCAGGTTTTTTTTTTTTTTTTTTTTTTTTTTTACAGATGCCGACCCTAGTCGAGTGAAAGTAGCATGCACATTAGGTACCTTAAGGGTTGCTTATTACCTGCACCAATCATATTTCTAGTTTTGCTTTTGACATGTTTAACTCTAGCATTTGGGACAGAAAAAGAGAATCAAATCAAGCTTGATTTTCTTCACGTCGCTTAAACTAAACCTTAAAACTGAGTTGATAACAGGATCAGATCTACCTAGAGCCATTGTCGTCGTTCTTCATCCTGATTTAAAAAAACTGACTCTGAAAATATTTCATAATCAGTAACCACATGAATGTTGTTTCCTTTTCGTCGTTCTCCAAATAAATTTCAGTTTTATTTTGCCCTCAACTTATGACAACTTATAATTTATAGTAGGACCGAGTACCTTGTTTACGTGTTCAATTATAGAAGTCCACAAAAAAAAAAAAAAAATCATAATTTTTCTTCTTTTAGATGTTCTCATTTTCTTTCAACCCTTACACTTGGGACGGCACAAAGGAGCGAGTTGGCTCTGATGTTGTAACCTTGCACTTGAAAAACAACGACAGCGAGCTTATTAAAGTATCAGATCTCACGGAAGACATTGTTATCATTACGCCTTTAAAACTTCAGCAAATCTCTGCTACAGAAAAGTCATGGTATTTCACAAAGAACGATGATCTACGTTTCCACGAGATAA